CAGTGCCCAAACCCTGAGTTCAAACCCCAGGAGCCACACACACACACACACACACACACACACACACACACACACACACACACACACACACACACACACCCCTACAACTTAAGAATGTAGATGCTATTGTGAAGTCATTAAAAAAAAAAATCATCTCAGAAAAGTAACAGATCTGCCGGGCACTGGTGGCTCACACCTGTAATCCTAACTACTCAGGAGGCTGAGATCTGAGGATCTCGGTTCAAAGCCAGTGTGGGCAGGAAAGACTGTGAGACGCCTAACTCCAATAAAGCACCAGAAAACCGGAAGTGGCGCTGTAGCTCAAGTGGTAGAATGCTTGCCTTGAGCTGAAGAGCTGAGGGACAGAACCCAGACCCAGAGTTCAAGCCCCATGACCGACCAAAAAAAAAAAAAAAAGAAAGAAAAGTAACAGATCTCAAACAGGTTTGCAAGTGGTAACAGACTAGAAGAGCTGCCTAAACAAAGGGATCCTTGCCAGGCACCAGTGAGTTACACCTGTAATCCTAGCTATTCAGGAGGCTGAGAACTATGGATCGCAGTTCAAAGCCAACCCAGGCAGGAGAGTCCGTAAGACTCTTATTTCTAATTAACCCCCAGGAAACTAGAAGTGGCTCTGTGGCTCAAGAGCTCAGGATCAGCATCCAGGCCCAGAGTTCAAGCCCCACAACCAACCAGAAACAAAACAAAAACCAAAGGGATCCAGTATCAATTTCCCACTCACAACTCATCTAGGACTCTGCTTCTCTAGGTGTGGCTTCCTAGCCTGTGTTCCCTTGGCACTGGAGCATTTGGAAGATCACACAGAAGACAGGTAATTGCCTGGGCACTTCTCTCCTTGAACTAAGAACCAAACTGGCTACCAGATTCTCCACACCTGCCTCCTACCTATCCCCCACACCACGAGTGCTCAGACCAAGATGAGATGCGACAACTTTTGGCTAAGCCAAAACTTCTCCTTGCCTAGGGGATACTTGTAGTTGAGATCTTAGTTACAGAACCACTGGTGGCAGGTCTTCTGACTGTGAATTACCTAACAGATACCAATAAGATCAGAATAGACCAGGCTGCTGAGTAGGAATTCCTGAGGTAACCTACCTGTCTGAAGTCTACTGAGCATGCAGGCAGGGCAAGGGTGGAACCCTACAAGAGCGCCGGTGTTACTCACTGATATGGTCAATGGCTCCAGCACAGAACTTGCCATAGAACTTCTTGGCACCCAGACTTCGCAGATCATGTATGGTAAAGGGCCAGAGATGTAAGACATTGTTGCGGGAGAAAGCATCTCGCTTCTCAATAACCACCACCTTGGCTCCCAACAAGGACAAGTCGATGGCTGTGCGTAGACCACAGGGACCAGCACCAATGATGAGACACTGAAAAACACAGCGACTTTTAGTGCAAAGGCTGTACCTCTCACACTTCTAGAGTGGTTACATGACGTCAGAGCCAGGTTTGTGAAAACCCTCCACTCAGGCTATTCTCCCCCAAGAAATGTTCAGGCCCACCTGAGGAACAATACTTGTGATGGCTTGAGGGAGCTCATAACTCTGTGGGTGAAGAAAACTGAACTGTCAGCACAAGGCATAAACCCAGCACCTGTGTACAGTGGTAACCTGAAAAGCTCATAGATCTGCAATAGATTTAAATGGGTAGCCATTTGAACAAATGACATATATGAAAGAAAAATTCACTTTTGTTGTTGTTGTTGGTTGTGGGGCTTGAAATATGGGCCTGGGTACGGTCCCTCAGCTCTTCAGCTTAAGGTGATTGTTCTACCACTTGAGCCACAGCGCCACTTCTGGTTTTCCTGGAGACTTATTGGAGATAGAAGTCTCATGGACTTTCCTGCCTGGGCTGGCTGATCCTCAGATCTCAGCCTCCTGAGAAATAGGATTACAGGCGTGAGCCACTGGCACCCAGCTGAAAAATTCACTTTTAAGCTTTGATTAGCAGGAGAGGACCTTCTCATATTTTTCTAAGTTTATCATTTTACAGATTATTAAATACATGGTCAAAGAAATCTTTGAATCCAGATTGGGTTTACCACATAAACAACTTCCAGGAGGCAATTCTCAAGATCCAAAGTTTCATGTGGTGAAATGAGTGGTAAAGTTGTTATTTCCAGGGTGAAAGTCCACGGAAATGCTCTTGAAAATCCACACTCTAGCAAAGGACTGGGGTGAGGTGAGACTAGCGTGCGCAGAAAGAGAACATGGCTTTGCACTCCTTTTCTTTATCTTCCTTTATCTATTTTTGTTTGTTTGATGTTGGTGTTGAGGATAGAATCCTAGGTCTCGGGCATGCCAGACAAGCATCCTACCATTAAACTTCCACCCTCTCTGAACCCTTCCTTCATTCTTACTGAAGTCTAGTAATCGCTCATGGAAGTCATACCTTCACACTTTTTGACCAGGGTGGGTCTTCAGGCATTCACATATCCATACAGGACAAATTAAAGCTCATGAAAGGCCAAAATAACATAAACTGAAATCATTTGCAAATCTGTTCCCCAGCTAACTGTTCCCAAACACCTCAGAGAACATGTTCTCACAAGGAAGGAGGCAGGAAACGTCTCTTTTCTTCCCCATATCCTCACGCCTCCTCCACACAAGTGCATGCACACCTCAAGTCTCTGTCCAAGCCAACCTGTTTCACGGAAATCTTACTGCTGTAAGATTCCAAACATAGACGTTTGGAATATGAACAGGATAGTCTGAAACATGTGGAAATTCCTGGCCAGGTGCTGAGTATGGACTGAGGACTTGGTAAAGATGACATACAAATCCCAGAAGCCATGTTCATATGGGATGCCAAGGGATCCCTTGGAATCTTTAGCTAGGATGCCCAGCTAAGCGGCTTATGTCCTTCCTATGTCCAGATGTGGTGTTAAGGGGCCTACTTCAGTGCCTTACATCATTCCTGTGTCAGATGGCGTGCTAAGGGGCCTAGCTCAGTGACTTACGTCCTTCCCATGGTAGTTCAGTGACTTCCTTCCTTCAAAATAAATATTTAAAAAGTTTCTATAGAGCCGGGCGCTGGTGGCTCACGTCTATAATCCTAGCTACTCAGGTGGCTGAGATCTGAGGATCGCAGTTCAAACCCAGCCCAGGCAGGAAAGTCCGTGAGACTCTTCTCTCCAATAAACCACCAGAAAATGTAAAGTGGTGCTGTGGGTGAAGTGGTAGAATGCTAGCCTTGAACTGAAGAGCTGAGGGACAGCACCCAAGCCCAGAGTTCAAGACCCATGATCGACAAAAAAAAAAAGTTTCTCTATAATTGACCTAGGGTTGTTTTTGAAGAGTTGAGACTTTGTATATCGATACATAAACACAAGAAATAGGCTCAGAATAGGGTGTGACAGTCAAATCAAACATGAGTAGCGGATCTGTAAAGTTTTAACCTAAACTTAACTTCTTTGGTTAGGCTGAGAATAGACTGCCTGGTTCTTGCCTTGTCCACCTCTCTCAATCCTTCTCGTTGGCACAGGTTAAATCCTTGTGCCAGTGACCCCAGGGCCAAGAGCAGACAGACCCTTACCTTGGTGTTAGCACATGCTTTTCCCTTTCTGTAGTCTTTGTGACTGCCCCGTTTGTCCAACTTGGTCCAGAGGGCTTTGGCCTTCCAGTAGTTGAGCTTGGACTTCAGCTTGTGGTAGAAGGAGCGGTAGTCCTTAGGCTTCAGTTCCAGGTGGTCACAGAGCTCCTGGAAGGCCCTGAGGGTTCCCTTACAGGTGGTGGCCTGGACAAATCGGTCGAAAAGGACATGAGCTTGGTTCATCACCTCGTGCTTGTTCTCCTCCATGCTCTCGACCATCAGCACCCCGAGAGGGGCAACAGGAGGGCTGCTGATCCACCAGACACTGTCACCTTAACCTAACAAAGAGAAGGGAGAGAACGAGCGGCCAATACTTCTGTGTCTACATACTCTTCTCCAAAGCAGAGTTCCCAAGTGGTAACATGCACGCACTCAGCCAATGTGCAGTGAGGCTTCCCAGGCACATCGCAGGCATGCAAGAGGAGTAACAGCCCTGCTTTCAGGGATCTTAACAGTCTAGTGGATGAGAAAGACACATGAACAGAATACTATGGGATACTACAGATGTTCTATAGAATACTACACACTTTCTAGTGTCATTCTACGTGTCACTAGAAAGAGGCCCAAGAGTCCCTAAATCATAGGGTAGGGAGACGCGGTCTCCCCCCCACACACACTGAAGATGAACCTCCAAGTAGGCCGCCGGGCCTTTCTGGAACATAAGGACTAGCCAAGCAAGGGAAAAGTGCAGGATGTGCATGGGAAGTAAAACCACGGACTCTGAATGGGAAGGTGGCTCAGTGGTAGAGCGCTTGCCTTGCATGCTTGAGGCCCTGGGATCGATTCCTCAGCACCACATAAGCAGGGGGGAAAAAAGCCGGAAGCGGCGCTGTGGTTCAAGTGGTAGAGCGCTCGCCTTGAGCTGAAGAGCTGAGGGACAGCGCCCAGGCCCAGAGTTCAGGCCCCATGACCGGACCCCCCAAAAAAACAATACAAAACCAGGGACTCTTACAGATCAAAGAGGCAAGAATGATTTCTACCTTTCCAGTTCAGACTACTGGAAGTAGTGACAGACAGCTAATAGGCTGAAAGCAGAAGCAGTTTTAGGGTACCAAACAGAGAAGACCAGAAAGAACCTCCTCATATCATATTATCATTAAACATTAAGAGTGTTGGGTGCTGGTGGCTCACGCCTATAATCCTAGCATCTCAGGAGGAGGCTGAGATCTGAGGATCTCAGTTCAAAGCCAACCCTGGCAGCAAAGCCCGCGAGACTCTTATCTCCAATTAACCACTGGGAAACTGGAAGTGGTGCTGTGGCTCAAAGTCATGAGAGCACCACTAGCCTTGAGAGAAAGAGCTCAGGGGCAATACCCAGACCCTGAGTTCAGGTCCCAATACTGACAAAACAATAACAACAACAACAACACCCTTAAAAGTATCATTAAGGCTGGGAAGGTGGCTCAGTGGTAGAGCACTTGCCTTGCATGCATGAGGCCCTGGGTTCGATTCCTCAGCACCACATAAGCAGGAAAAAAAAAGCCGGAAGTGGCGCTGTGGCTCAAGTGGTGGCGCGCTAGCCTTGAGTTGAAGAGCTGAGGGACAGCGCCCAGACCCAGAGTTCAGGCCCCACGACTGGACCCCCCTCCCCGCAAAAAAAAAGTATCGTTAAGTGCACAAAATGAAGAAAGAATATTGAACATTAGAAGAGATGTGCCAAGTCATATACAAAGGCAAACCTATCAGAATAACTGTAGAAACTTAAGACCAAGGAGAATATGGAACGATGTATTTCAAGCCTTGAAAGAAAATTACTACCTAGCCTATATTACTGCATCTAGCAAAGCTAACTTTCATAATTGAAGGAAAAACAAAATAAATGCAGACTACAGGAATTCATGTCCACCAAGCCAGCACTGCAGTAGATAAAGAATCCTACATGCAGAAGAGGAAGATAAAGGCACCATGTAAAATTTTTACTAATTGGTAAAATGTTTTACTAAATGGGTAGCTAAATGAAGACTAGGAGAGAATCAAACACTATAAAAAACAACCGTGAAGTGACTTAACCGTGAAGTGATGGTTTAAGCTGCAAGTGCCTATGAAATCGGCTCTCAAAGGATAGGCACCCAGTTTCACAAAGACACGGACTAGGCCCAGGGTTTGCATGTGAGAAAGAATTGCCCCCTATGAAAAAGTAACATTCTGCTTTTCTATACATCTCACTGTCGCAGCTGACTAAGCCAAATCAGCTGGAGATACGTTTTAAATTTCATGGGAAAGTAGTAAATACGGGCTCTGAACTTCCCTGGTGTTTTTCATATCAACAGCTAGGCCTCTTCTAGTACACAACAACCTTTCCTAGCTCTGGATATTAAGATGAGCACTGCTAATAAATATAGCTTCTTCCAACATCCATGTGTCCAAGAGTCCAGTAGGAAAAGCAACTAGGAATCTAAGTATATGCAGCCCAGTGGCAGAACATTTGCTTAGCATGTGCACATTAGGTTCCAGCACAGCAAATGGAAACAAGAATAAAGGAATTAACTAGAACTGACTTTTAGCTTCCCCTAAGTAAGGTTTTACCTCTGGTAGAAAGAGCCAGCAAAATAATTTAAAGCCCTTTAACAAAAAACAAAAACAGCACCTTCTTCTTTCATGCTAAGGCTTATCTTAGAAAAGATGGCTTGTCAAACATGGCTTGTAGGAGAGGAAAAATCCAGGTGTGTTCAGAGAGGCAGAAGAAAGAATGGCAGACAACAACCAGGGATTGGAAATAAAGGTCCCAGGCAGTGCTGCCACCTGGGGTGGGGTGCGTGGGGAGGAGGGGCACGTGGGGGGGGGGGGAGAGGGACTGCGCGCAGGGGTGACGGGGCAGGGCAGGACGGTGGGGCTGCCTCTCCCTCTGGTGTGGGATCACCACAGCTGTTACTACCCTTCTGGGAACAGGCAACACCGTACAACCCTCGCTCCTACCCACCACCTGTGTTCACAACCAACCTTACCTCCTCCAGGGTCACAATTAAATGTGTGGCAAGCTTTGAACACAGCAGGTCTGATCTGCTTCTTGCCGAGGGGTAAAATGATTTTTCTCTGTTTGGAATCAACAGCCACTGTCTACTTCTTGCCAAGATTCAGAGCACTCAAAACCATGATATTCTCGCTGAATGCGAACCACGTACCTCTAAAAGCCTCTCCTGGTCACAGCTATTCCCCTGCTTCCCATGTACCCGCCCCCCTGGCACATCACCTTTGGCCAAAGAATTCTGCTGCAGGGGCTGACATTCCCTTCCATGTGGCCTACTTTGCGGTAAACATCCCCTAAGAGCTGCAAACTACCACAGCACATTTCCAAACGAAATCTCACAGGAGGTGTGTGCCTCCTTAAGAACCATTCCAACTCTGTGAAAACACTTCCAAACGAACACGTTTGGTCCCAGCTTCTGAAGGCCGCAGCATGCCTGCTTCCAAGCACAGGCCAGCATTAGGTGCTCAGGGTAAGTGAGCACAACCTGAAGGGCACTAATGACAACGGAGGAACAGAGGGAAGTCGGTTCCTGGAACAATGAGACAGGCACCCCACGGCAAGAATACGTGAGACGGAGTCCCTTGGGCCGCCTCACCTTTCTACTCCTGCAAGCCAGATGGCTGTATCAGGAAGAAAGTCTGCAGTGTTCCGAGCATTGTTCTGTGGCTCCGCCACACTGAGTATCGTCCACCAGGGAGTTGCCCAGCATTCTGACTCACTCAGAACAGCCGGGAAGAACCAGAAGAGAAGGGCCTGCATTTGTCCCCTGCCCCCATACATCGTGTCCTCCTGGCCTGTCTTGGACCACCTTGTGTACACTTCATCCCTGGCATCTTGGAAAAACCAACATTCATAATCACAGGAACCTAGAGATCAAGAAACCTGGCCAGAACGTACCAGAAACCCCAGATCAGAAAAACACAGGTCTGGGAGAGAGGGAGGGGGGAAGGGAGAGGCCTGAGGAGGAAAGAGGAAGAAGCAGTTTCCAAAGCATCTGTATGACTCTGCCAGCTAACAACACCCCTAGGGTTTTGTCTCATGGCAGCTGCCAGCTGACGCAGGCGCTCGGTGCATTCCTGGGCCAAGGAGAAAGAACATGTGGGAACAGTGTTCATGTTACTGGTCACAACAAAGAGTGATGGTTGCCCTGACTCATGGCTGCTTGTGAGAACTCTCAGCCTCATGCCCTTAGAATGAGGGGTAGTTATCTGGAGGTAAAGAAAGAGCCTTTATAAATAGAAAAGGAAGCCTGGTGCTGATGGCTTATGCCTGTAATCCAAGCTACTCAGGGACTGAGATCTGAGGATCACGGTTCAAATCTAGCCCAAGTAGCAAAGTCCCCATGAGACTCTTATCTCCAATTAGCCACTCAAAAACTGGAAGTGGTGCTGTGGCTCAAGTGGTGGAACACTAACCTTGAGCACAAAAAGGCTCTGGGACACAGGCCCTTAGCAAGCCCCACAACTGAGCCCCCCCAAAAAAGGAAAAGAAAAAGGTAGCCAGAAACCAGTGGCTCCCGCCTGTCATCCTAGCTACTCAGGAGGCTGAGATCTGAGGATGGTGGTTCAAAGCCAGCCCAGGCAGGAAAGTCTGTGAGACTGTTACCTGCAATTAACCAGCAAAAAGCCAGAAGTAAAGCTGTCCTCATGTCCTCAAGTTGTAGAGCACTAGCCTTGTGCACAAAAGCTCAAGGCCCTGAGTTCAAGCCCCAGGAAGAACACAAAAGAGGTAAGTAGATAGGAAGGAAGGAAGGAAGAAAGGAAGGAAGGAAGGAAGGAAGGAAGGAAGGAAGGAAGGAAGGAAGGAAGGAA